GTAGACATATATATAAGCTATGTTATATAAAAATTCCATGTATGACAAAGTTACAGTCCGGACACGAATGTGTTTACCTTTAAACTCTAATGGTGAGAATGTAAACCTTTAAAGTATAAGTTTGACCTTGACTCTGAGGTAGGAACATGGGTCTTAGACGAAACACATCATCATGATGTGAAAGACATTTGTGCCAAGTTATTTCAAATTCCTATCATGCATGGCAAAGTTACAGTCCGGACATGAATGTTGTGTAATTGCGAAAGCACAGACATACAAACAGACAGACGGACGATGCGATTTTGATATTCAGCCCTTCGGGGCATAAAGAGTACACATTATTATTTTTTTATATTAGGAAATGGTGATTTGACGAAAATCAAAATGTGTGTATGCCGACGGTTTTTTTTTCTATTAAGAAAGATGTAAAGCATATACTTAAAAAATCATGTGATATTTTGAAATGCTGTGTTCTTGTGGACATTTTCGATACGGCAACTTTTATAAACCACCGAATTGTACACGAAATGACATCAGATGGTAGATGAAATAACATCAGATTGTACAACAAATAATATCAGATTGTACACCAAATAACATCAGATTGATTGTACTCCAAATAACATCAGATTGTACTCCAAATAACATCAGATTGTACACCAAATAACATCAGATTGTACACCAAATAACATCAGATTGTACTCCAAATAACATCAGATTGTACACCAAATAACATCAGATTGTACTCCAAATAACATCAGATTGTACACAAAATAACATCAAAGTGTACACAAAATAACATCAGATTGTACACCAAATAACATCAGATTGTACTCCAAATAACATCAGATTGTACTCCAAATAACATCAGATTGTACACCAAATAACATCAGATTGTACACAAAATAACATCAGATTGTACACCAAATAACATCAGATTGTACACCAAATAACATCAGATTGTACACCAAATAACATCAGATTGTACTCCAAATAACATCAGATTGTACACCAAATAACATCAGATTGTACACCAAATAACATCAGATTGTACACCAAATAACATCAGATTGTATCGTAACTAATATCAGATTGTACAACAAATAACATCACATTGTAAACCAAATAACATCAGATTGAAATATGAAATAACATTAACTTTGTTTCCGAAATAACATCAGATTGTAGAGGAACTAACCTTAGATTGTACACAAAATAACATCAGATTGTACACCAAAAAAATCAGATTATAGACGAACTAACCTGAGATTGTACACAAAATAACATCAAATTGTACACAAAATAACATCAGATTGTAGAGGAACTAACCTTAGATTGTACACAAAATATCATCAGATTGTCAAAAAAATAGCATCAGATTGTACCCAAAATAACATCAGATTGTTAACCGAAAAATCGGGAGGGGGATATTGTGTTGGCGTTGTCCGTCCGTCCGGGCGCACGAGAGGACACGTGTTGGGTACCTCCGGCGTACGAAAGGACACTTGTTTGGTAATTCTATTAATTCCGTCAGTATTGTTGGGTACTTTGTTCTCTTATTGGGTACTTTTAAACAAAAGAAGTACCCAATAAATGTCCATTCGTAGGAATGTCCGTCGATCCATCCATCCGCCCGAATTTCGTTTCCGCGCTAGTTATCTGCAACTACTGACTGGAATTCAACGAAACTTTATGGGAATCATCAATACCAAGACGAGATGCGTATATTCCGATCAGACCCTTCAACACAAAGTTATGACCCTTGATTATGTATAAAGAGCAACAAATGTTTCGGCTCTACTTCTCTGCAACTACATGCAGGAATTCAATGAAACTTTATCCGAACCATCAATACCAAGACGAGATGCTCATATCGTCGCTTTGTTCCGATCAGACCCTTCAACACAGAGTTATGGCCCTTGATTATGCATACAGAGCAATAAATGTTTCGGCTCTACTTCTCTGCAACTACTGGCATGAATTCAATGAAACTTTATGGGAACCATCCTTGTTCCGTTCAGACCCTTCAACACAGAGTAATGGCCATTGATAAGTTATGCAGTATGCATATAGAGCAATAATCGTTTCCGTGCTACTTCTCTGCAACTACGGGCAGGAATTCAACGAAACTTTATGGGAAACATCAATATCAAGACGAGATGCGCATATCGTTGCCTTGTTCCGGTCAGACCCCTAAACACAGCACTGAGTTATGGCCCTTGATTACTTATGCAGTATGCATATATAGCAATAATCATTTCCGCGCTACGTCCCTGAAACTACTGGATCGAATTCAACGAAACTTTATGGGTACCATCAATACCAAGACGAGATGAACATATCGTCGCCTTGTTCCGGTCAGACTCTTCAACACAGGGTTATGGCCCTTGATTAGTTATTCAGACTGCATATAGAGCAATAATCGTTTATGTGCTATTTTTTCTGCAACTATTGGCAGGAATTCAATGAAACTTTATGGAAACCATCAATACCAAGAGGAGATGCGCATATTGTTGCCTTGCTCCGCTCAAACCCTTCATCACAGAGTAATGGCCCTTGATTAGTTATGCAGTATACATATAGAGAAATAATTGTTTCCATGCTATTTCTCTGCAACCACTGGCAGAAATACAACAAAACATTATGACATTATGAAAACCATCAAAACCTAAAGGACATACACTAAGCGTCGCCTTCTTTCGGTCAGACCCTTAATTCAGCACAGAGTTATGGCCCTTGGTATGTTATGCCGTATGCATATAGAGCAATCATCGTTTCCGTGCTATTTCTCTGCAACTACGGGCAGGAAAACAATGAAACTTTATTGGAACCTTTAATACCAAGACGAAATGCGCACTTCGTAGCCATGCTCCGGTCAGACCCTTTATCACAGAGTTATGGCCCAGTATGCATATAGAGCAATAATCGTGGCCGCCCTATTTCTCTGCAACTACTGGCTGTAATTCAATGATACTTGATGGGAACCATTAATACTAATAGGAGATAAACATATCCTCCCATTGTTCCGGTCAGACCCTTCAGCACAGAGTTATGGCCCTTTATTTGTTATGCAGTATGCATGTAGAGCAAAAATCGTTTCTGTGCTATTTTTCTGCAACTACTGGCTGGAATTCAAAAAAAGTTGGTAGAAACAATCAATACCAATAGGAGATGAGCATATAGTCATCTTGTTCCTGTCAGACCCTTCAGCACAGAGTTATGGCCCTTTATTTGTTATGCAGTATGCATGTAGAGCAATAATCGTTTCCGTGCTATTTCTCTGCAACTCCTGGCTGGAATTCAAGTAAATTTTATGGGAACCATTAATACATATCAAGACGAGATGTGCACATCGTTGCCTTGTTCAGATCAGACCCTTCAACACAGAGTTATGACTCTTGATTAGTTATGTAATATGCAAATATAGTAATATTGATTTTTCTTTGCAACTGCTGGTTTGATTTCAACAAAAAATTATGGGAACCATGAATACAAAAGGCAATTTGCATCTCATTGACATGTCCAGATAATATTATTTAAAACGGATTATGGCCTCTGTTAATTTCATAAAATTTTATCATGTACAAAGAATATTCCTCTTTATGCCATGATAAAAATATAAATAAAGCCTTATGTCACCTGTTGTTGTGTTAGTTATAACCAGTACTCGGCGGGGATATAAATTCAACGGATTTGCTTGTTAAACTTAGTCCTTCTCACTTCCCCTCGGAGCGTGGTCGTAGGACATCGGCAGAAGATTTGAAGACTTGGGATGGCGCAAAAGATCAGAACTTGTACTGCGGACCAGCTACCGAGGTCCTGACTAATGCCGAGGGGAGTGGCCCTACAAAGTAGGCTCTGAGTCGACGAGGATGGTGTGCTAGGGTGCGTGAACCCCTAGCACAGATAGACGGCTTGAACGGCAGGCCTTTTGCTGGCACCAACAGCCCTTTTAAGGGCTACCTCCTTTCATTGCTGTCTCAGCTAGGTTACTGTACATTTATGTTTTCGTTGACTTCCGTACAGTGACCTTCTTTTGGCTCAAAATTCATATCTTTGCCAAATACTCCGCCACTTTGTGCACCAAAATTAACTCTTTAAGGGGTTGGCTGGTGATATGTCCGGGGTCTGTACTCGACAGCAAAGGCAGCATTTTGTGCCCTTACGGCTTACGGGCGGATGGACCCTCATTAAGCATAGACTACACACACTTGTTAACCTTATTTTTGGGTGATGAATTATCAGCTTAATTCACAGGGTAATACATATGTTTAAACTAAAAATGGACACATATATGTATCTCTTAATGTTTCCGTGTGTAAAAATGATAAGATAAACAAACTAGCGTGCATTGAGACATTTTCGTAAATTATCTACATATATGTCCGTCTTTGTGTAATAGTGCGTTCGGGCTTTCTCTTACAGTCACAGACATAGATAACAGATAATGTTATCTACTCGTATGTCTCTGTTACAGTCAATATTATCACAACATGCATTTTGATATTTGAATGATTGCATAGCATCATTTCTGGGCAAAAATAGTAAAACGTTTTCTTCTAGTCAGAATTTTATTTCGATCTATGTACATGTAGATCTCCTTGTAAAAAGTCGAGTCTCGAAAATTTTGCCAGACAATGTCTCTGAGCAAAAAAGATTTCTTACAAAAAGTCGCGGATTTTTTACCCGTGACTTTTTATGAAAATTCGTTGTTGAGGAACAAACAGTCGCGGCCTAATAATCCCCTCGACTTTTTGTAGAATTTCTTCAACACATGCAAAAATTGTCGCGGATTTCTTTTTGTTCCTTGACTTTTTCCAAATAGACAAACGATGGAAGGATAAAATGTAGTCATGTTATGGACGCTAAAGTAGCGGCCACTGAAGGCAAAATCTTCCTTGCTATTTCCAACAATTGTTATAAAATATCGAGATTTATACGTTCCCCGCGACATTTTGTACGATTTCGACATTTAAGGATAAAACTATAAATTTCTCGCTATGGTGACCTGCACACGGGCCTCAGTTGGTCTATATCACCGAGATGCTTAAATGATATTTTAAGCGTCTAAAAATACAGACGAACTATCGAGACAAGCGCCATCTATGCTACTATTTTGTGAAAACATTTTCAGCTGTTTATCTCTCAGAAACACAAATATGTTAGTTTAATTTTTCCGAAAAATGTTAAACGTCGTGTTGATCAGTAAAAGGAAGTTTTTATAGCGTTGATATGCCCGATACAAAAGAAAGGTTTGTTTCCTCTCTCATCTTATTTTATATCGCTCGTGAATCTTTTGTTTACAAATTTCTGAAAATTTGGCGAGGACATCTTAATGTCTTTTTAGTATACATTATATTCTACGTAAATTTTATATAAGAATTTTAAGTCACTTGTTTTTTTTTAAAAACTAGTCTTAATTTTCTAAAACACACAATTTTCATTTATGCCGCCCCTTAAAAAAGCATGTTCAACTTTATGTCTTATCACAGTGTCTCGCGTCTCTATCTTTTTTCTGAGATCTTTTTATTTATGGTTTTTGGGAAATGGGAGTGCCATCCCAGATTTTTTGTTTTTCCCATTGGGATTGCCTGATTGTAAACGTGCCCAAAACATTTAAATTTTTCTGAAAAAAATTTAACACTTTTTTTTCAGAAAACATTTAAATAAACCCTTAAAATCAATGTCTTTCATTTTAATAAAAAGAAAAACTAAAATCAGGAAAATGCAGGGGTGGTTTTACGGAAAAATTTAAATCATTAGTGAGTGCAATGCTGCATCAGAAAAACAAATCAAAACAAAATTTTTGTACATGTATGTATTTCGTATAATTTATATAACTTTTTCAAAAAATTTTAACTATTTATAGCTTTTTACCAAAAATAAGCAATTCAAAATTTTAAATAACAAATTAATGTTAATCGTGCAAAATTTTCCTGATTTTTAAAACCCACATTTTTGAGGAATTCACTTATACATGCATTCAAATGAATAATGATGGTTTCCTTTTAAAGCTTTTAAAAAAAATCTTTTTTTAGGTTTTGCTATCAAAGAACAAAAACTCCCGATTTCCCAAATTTGGGCCCCCATCAAAAATCGATAAACATGTCAATTTACAACAACAAAAAACACCAACCCGTCAATACGGAAAAGTCATTCTTGGGTTTGGTTGTTTTTTTTATCTATTAAAAAAAAAATTCTCACCAGGGGTTTTTTCCCCTTTTGAACCCAAAATTGGTTTTTTTCCAATCCAAAAAATTAAAAAATAGGGTGTTTTTTTTTTAACTCTTATGTCAAGGAACAATTATTTTTGGCTCACCTTTCACAAAGTGACATGGTGAGCTTTTGTGCTTGCTTTTTAGTTTTAGTCTGGCGTCTGTCCGTAAACTTTAACTTTAAACGACATCTCCTCAAAAAACGCTAAGCTAATTTAATCCAAACTTCACAGGAATGTTCCTTTGGAAGTCAACTTTAAAAATTGTTCAAAGAATATAATTCCAAGCAGAACTCAGGTTGCCATGGCAAGTTAACTGAAAGAAAAATCTTAAAATATCTTCTTTTAGAAAACCAAAAGAGCTAGAGCTTAAATATTTGGCATGAAACATGGCCCTCTTGTTTTTAGGTCATGGTTATTATGTGAAATGTTTATGAACTACATGCCACAGCAAACTGTATTTTTGCATTCAAAATTTTAAAATGTGCTTTTGAGAGGAATGGAAATGAGTTGACTGAACCAAATAATTGTTTTCTTTTTCTATTTTTTTTGCTTGACTTTATTATTGTATTATACTATATATTGCAAATGTTTCCGTTTTTGGTTAAAACAACATAGAAATTTTTAATTCAGGGGATTGGATTATATTCCCAAAATAATGAGAGGAAAAAAACAGGGCTAATTTTTTACTATTTCAGACAAAGTATCTTTGTAGAACCAAAAAATCTCTTAGAATTTAAATTAAGTCAGTTTGATAATGTCATATTCATATACATGTAATACATTAAAAATGGCATAATGAATTTCAATTTATTTGTTACAGGTACAATGGACATCTACCACAAGGAAACAAGGGGCGTAGAAAAAGTAAATATTCACTTTATAGGCGGCCAAAGGCAAATGGCGTCAAACCATTTAGAAAACACATAGTGAAAAATCCACATTCTTCAAAGGTATAAACAATTTTATCTATCATTTTTTCTAAAAATGAAATAGTATAAATTTTTGATGGACATAATGTCATTGGAATTAAAAAAAGAAGTGATTATCTGAAAATGTTAAATTGTTATCCTTTGAATAGATGTTTGATCAATAAGCAAGTATTTCAATTATGTATTTAATGATATACTTTTTAAATTGTCCATCCATCGCTCTGCTTTCTGTTAAAGCAGTAACTTTGTTATTCATGTTAATTATTGTCCAGCTCAAAGGTCAATGCCAAACTTTTGTGTGACCAAAGTCATAATATGATTGTGAAAGATGACCGTGTCTGGTTCCTGATTTTGATATTCATAGATGGATTATTAAAGTCTTTATGGATGGATTTTAAAGTTGTTCATGGTTGAATTTTTAAATAATTATGCATAAATGTTCAGCACATCAAGCTTGCGCATTTCACTCAAATGTAAGGCTTATAATTTGAAGGTCTAGGTCACATTTATTTTAAAAGAAATTTTTATAAAAAAAATGCATTTATGTTTCTGTCTAGTCAACAATCTTGCCATTGATGGATAAATTTTCAAATAGAATTGAATAAATATGTCACACCTATAAAGACGATTCTAAAGAAATGTATAGCACAAGAATAAAGTCTTCGGCTCAAAGCTGAAGGTCAAACTTGTATCTCAAAAGACTTTTTTAAAGGCATGATTGTAAACAGGTGGTTGTGTTTTGGTAATTATAAACATGGACAAATTTTAAAGCTATTAAAAATAAATGTGAGGCTTATTAAGATGACATGTAGTGAACAATAGCCAGTTCAGTAGATATTTTCACAAAAGATCTTACAATTTTATCTTAAGTTTTTGAATAATGTTTGAATTATTTAAAGATAATGATTCATTCTATATTTATAAACAATGGACATTAATTATTACATAACTTTACAATTATTTTCAGGCGGTTCAAGATAGCCATCAACATTCAGTATCATATACATTGTCTCGTAATCAAGCTGTGATAGTTGAGTACAAGGAGGACCCTGATACAGACATGTTCCAGGTATGTACATTCTTCCTAAATCCTGTAGAATGGGATTGTGGGATAGCTGACTCAACAGTTCTAATCTGGTGTTTATATATAGAAACTTCCATCATTGCCCTTAATTTGCTGAATTTATGCCATAAATACATGTATGCCCAGCTTTGAAATTGGAGAAGTGCATTTGAAGTCTTGGATACATCATGTTTCACTTCACCATTGTTGACAAAAGTTGAAATGAAAACTTATTTCTGTATGCATATATATTAATCTTTTATCTTATTTAATCTTCTATACAAGTTTGATGCTGGAACTGAAAGTGGTAAGCTTTGCCACCAGTATGGAGCCTGGCCAGCTGGCAATTCTGTGTGCTGTCTGACCAGGGTCCATACTATTGATAGCTTGATTTTGAAATACCTTAAACTTCAAATGGACTTTTACCATGAAAAAGAAGGCCAAAACCGTAACACAAATTTAGCCTGTTTAATACGGGTTAAGTGTCTTGAACTTATAAATAAGATCTATAAATAGTAACAACAGGATATAGGACAGTTATTGAGAGTATTAGGCTGTATTCTTTGTTTTAAACCTTTATGTCCTGTTTCTTTTCTCTAACAAAGACAGCTTTATTATTCTGAGAATAATGTGTCAAAAAAAAAAAAATTGGAAAGAGCTGTATTATGTAGATCAAGTTTTTATCATTTAAAATTATAAAGTTTTTGTTACTTTAAGTTTACGTGAGGCATGACATTGTTGCACTATTTGAAACAAATAATACTTATCTGAGATATGGCTTGGTTGAAATTTATGTGTAAAAACTTCTTGGGGGTTTGGGTGCATGAACCCCTTAGAAATACTTTTGCTTTAGGCTTTAAGTATTGTGTTTTTGGCATATATTTAGCACAATAAATATGTTCAGTGCATTATTAAAATATGCAAGCAGACAATTTCAAATAAATATTTTTTTTTTCATTCTAATACTTGGAAAAAAAAGGCCACAATCTTACACAGCTATAGGAAGTTATGTCATTTCCTATGCAGTCATTGAATCAGCAAATTATCTATATAATTATCTATATATATCTTAAAAGATGATTTAAGAATGATCTAGACCTTAAAAGGATTGTGATATTCAGCATAGTTTTTTCACAAATGTAACATCATGATTGGCAAATAAAAATAACTTCATAGAAGGAGAGCATGTTACATTATACATCATAAGAATAATTAACTAAACAGACCAAGACAATTGTACCATTTTTAGCTCGACTATTCGAAGAATATGAGAGCTATTGTAGTCGCCCCGGCGTCGGCGTCGGCGTCAGCGTCCGCGTCTGCGTTGGTTAAAGTTTTTTGTAAAGTCAAATATCTCAATTATTACTTGAGATATTCAATTGAAACTTACAATACTTATTTATAGTAACAAGGCACATCAGATTGACAAGTTGGATAACTCTGCCTACAATATTGACAGAATTATGCCCCTTTTTAACTTAGAAATTTTGGTTAAAGTTTTTTGTGAAGTCAAATATCTCAATCAATGCTTGAGATATTCAATTGAAACTTACAATACTTATTTATAGTAACAAGGTACATCAGATTGACAAGTTGGAAAACTCTGCCTACAATATTGACAGAATTATGCCCCTTTTTAACTTAGAAATTTTGGTTAAAGTTTTTTGTAAAGTCAAATATCTCAATTATTGCTTGAGATATTCAATTGAAACTTACAATACTTATTTATAGTAACAAGGTGCATCAGATTGACAAGTTGGATAACTCTGCCTACAATATTAACAGAATTATGCCCCTTTGGAACTTAGAAATTTTGGTTAAAGTTTTTTTGTAAAGTCAAATATCTCAATTATTGCTTGAGATATTCAATTGAAATTTAAAATACTTTTTTATAGTAACAATGTACATCAGTTTGCAAAATTGCATAACTCTGCCTGCAATATTTGCAGAATAATTCGCCCCTTTGAAACTTAGAAATTTTGGTTTAAGATTAAAGGTCTTCAAAGATATTTACTTGAAACTTTACACATGCACTTGGGTCATAATTGGAGGGTCATAATTGTATGTCACTGACCAAGTTCCATAACTCTATCTTGCATTAAGGCTGATTCATATCCCCTTTTCTACTTAGTCTCTTGGTTAGTGTTTACATGCAAGTTTTACATATCTCAATAACTATTAAAGATATTTATTAAAAACTTCACATATGCATTTAGGGTCATAATTGTAGGTCACTGACAAAGATCCATAATTCTATCTTGCATTTAGGCTGATTTTTCTCCCCTTTTTCAACTTAGAAATTCATGGTTAAGTTTTTCATGTAAGTTGTTATCTCAATAACTACTGAAGGGTTTGTGCCTTTTTCGGGACACAATTTTATGCATTCATAATAATAAAGCAGTGATTTACTTGATAAAACATCTTAATAACAAGCCTTTGTACCTTTTCTGTCAAATTTATTTATTCATAGGTAATTAGTATTATTATACTCAATAAAACACCCTTGTGACATTACCTTCCGAATAGTCAAGCCAATACTGTATAATTAGACTCTCTCTTAGGCCTATAACATGAATTTATAAAAAAATTTTAGCCCTTTTGTGAACTTAAAAAATTAAACAATATAAAGGCTCTTTTACTATCAAGCACTTAGAATAGTCGAGCGTGCTGTCCTACAGACAGCTCTTGTTTTTATTGTTTTGCTCGAGGATATGAAATAAGTTTCTTTATTTCACAGAGCATGTTCTGCAATAGTTCTCTTAATTACATACAGAAATGATCAACATGCATTTTCTTACATTGTCTATAGACGGAATTCTAGAGAATTTCTACATATTCCAATAGTAAGATTGTGAATGATAGAAATTTTATTCGTTTCCAATAATGAGAACATGCATTAGCTGTGAGGAATGACTCCCTGCAGTCTGATTAGACAGGATCAGTAGATCATTCATAGAATATCTTAATCTTCCTCAGACCTGATACTGTGTGTCCTAATTGGGGTGTAATATGCAGTAATATATATTCTGCTTACATATTTCTGTGTATGTCTTCATTGATTTGTTATGTGTATTATCTACATCTAAAAACTGATTTATTGCATGCAGAAAATCATGCAAATGTCATAAGTGTCTGTGGACAGTACATGTGTATGATGTTCTATATGTAAATTGAATACACAATACATGTGTATGATGTTCTACATGTAAATTGAATACTGTGTATGTGTTGATGCGTAACATGATCTACATGGAAATGGCATAGTGTGGGTGTATTGATGTAAAACATGTTTTATATTGAAATGGCAAAGTGTTATTGATGTGTAACATGCTCTACATGTAAATGGCATTATAAGTGTGTCTGTATTGATGTGTAACATGTTCTACATGGAACTGGCATAGTGTGTCTGAATTGATATGTAACATGTTCTACATGGAAATGGCATAGTGTGTCTGTATTGATGTGTAACATGTTCTACATGGAAATGGCATAGTGTGTCTGTATTGATGTGTAACATGCTCTACATGTAAATGGCATTATAAGTGTGTCTGTATTGATGTGTAACATGTTCTACATGGAACTGGCATAGTGTGTCTGAATTGATATGAAACATGTTCTACATGGAAATGGCATAGTGTGTCTGTATTGATGTGTAACATGTTCTACATGGAAATGGCATAGTGTGTCTGTATTGATGTTTTACATGTTCTACATGGAAATGGCATAGTGTGTCTGTATTGATGTGTAACATGTTCTACATGGAAATGGCATAGTGTGTCTGTATTGATGTGTAACATGTTCTACATGGATATGGCATAGTGTGTCTGTTTTGATGTGTAACATGTTCTACATGGATATGGCATAGTGTGTCTGTATTGATGTGTAACATGTTCTACATGGAAATGGCATAGTGTGTCTGTATTGATGTTATACATGATCTACATGGAAATGGCATTATAGTGTGTCTATATTGATGTGTAACATGTTCTACATGGAAATGGCATAGTGTCTGTATTGTAATGTAATATGTTCTACATGGAAATGGCATAGTGTGTCTGTATTGATATGTAACATTTACATGTAGAATATGTTTCACATCTACACAGACACACAATGCCATTTTCATGTAGAACATGTTTGTACACAAACGTGTTCTGCATGTAAATGTCATAGTGCATTTGTGAAGATGTGAAACATGTTCTACATGGAAATGACAGTGTATCTGTGTAGATGTGTAATATGTTCTACATGTAAATGGCATAGTGTGTCTGTATTTATATGTAACATGTTTTACATGTTAGTGTCATAATTTGTGTGTGTATGTGTAACATGTTCTTTATGAAAATGGCTTAGTGTTTCTTTGTTGATGTGATTTTTTCTTTGTGCAGATTGCTTTACTGCATTACTTATGTTGACGTGTTACGATTTTATTTTACACATCCTGATTTGTTATTGTTACTAGTCACATTTGTATATGAGTGCTGTAAAACCAAAGAAACAAACACTTGTATATGACATACTATTTTGCCTAAATTGATTTATATCATGTTATTATATAATGATTTCTGGGTGACTAATTAAGGCATGCTCACAGTTTGACAGACCTTTCTGATTGATTATACCTTAACATTATTATGTCCATATATTGCCTCATTTTATTCATCATTTCATTTGAAGTCAAATTATTTTTATCTTGTGTTTGATAATAATTGGACTTTAGAAGATATTTTGCAAGTTAGTAGAGTGAAGTACTATTCCAAAACAATATGGTTACTAGGTTGGCTTGAAAATATGCTGTACCATTTTCTCTATACAACTCACCTTTAGCTTTCGTGCAGTGGATTTGACCTGCTTTGAATTTGAAACTGTCCATTCAACGTTTATTGAATCAATGTCGGTATTAAAATGCCAAAAATTTGAAGCTGGAAAAGACGTAGAAATTCAGTAGGTAAAGGGTTAAAAATATTATTCTCATGGAATAAATCAATAATAAATTCAAGGTAATT